CCCCACAACCCGCCCCGCGCGCCCCGAACGCCGCGTCGACGCCGCAGGTGCAGGGCGGGCCGCGGATCGAGGGCGCCCTCTTTGTCTTCGACAAGCACGGCCATGTGCCGGCCGTTACTGTGCTGGTGAGCTGCCGGGCGGGCCGATGGAGCGGCTGCGTCGGCGCCAAAGGGGCGGCGGCGCCCTTTGCAGGGTACCAAATCAGGTAGTTTACCCTGCAGGGTGCGCCAGCGGCCCCGGCCGGCGGCCAGCCCGTCGTCGCCCCTGCGCGCCGCGTCCCATCGATGTTTGGAGGGTCGCAGCAGCGGCGACCGCGGCGGAATGGCAGGGGCTCCCATGACTTCTGCATGCGCGACGGGCGCGGGCCCAGCGACGCCGCCTGCACATGCCATGCGCCCCGCATGGCATGCGGCCCGACCCAATCATGCGTCCGCGCGGCCCCCAATGCCTCAAATCGCAGCTGTACAGCCCGGCTGGCGAGCTCATGTGGTCGCAGGCGCACGTCAATTCAGAGGCCCATTTTAACATCGCAGCGCGGGGGCCTGGCAGCTACAAAGTCTGGTGGGGGGGGGCTTTTTGGGCAGAGGGCGGCAGCGCAGACGCAGGCTCGGCGCAGGCCTGACGCGCCCACGCCTGCGGGGATGCAAGGCGCGTCGTCCGTCCCGCAGGCTGCGGCGCGGGGGGGGGGGGGCGCAAGGCAAGGACAGCAGCAATATTAAGGCAAAAAACAGCTCCGCCTGACCATGCGGCGGCCCTGGGAAGCAGGCTCATGCAGTTCGCACGCACATGCGTCGCCCGCAACCCGCAGCTTCCAGAGCCATAGCCGGATGGACACCGTCGTGGACCTGGTCTACTTCACTCTGGGTCACCTCAGGCGAGTGATTGTGAATCTGGGTGGGCAAAAAGGCCAGCCTTTGAGCGTTGGCGGCAGCCTGAGGCAGAAGTTCTGCAGTCAGTGGCCAGGATTTTGCGGTATTTTGCGGTGGACTCTCTGTTGCGGGCCTGGCGAATGGCGACGTTGGGTCACGGCGTCAGTGGTGGGCCTGAACCGCCACTGGTGAGGCGACAGCTGCTTCTGGCGAGCGGCAACCGCGCGCCCCGGCTGCAGATGCCCGCATGCTGTGTCGCAGATTGTCCCGTCCCTGCATGCGTGCGCAAACAGCCGTGCGGGCATGCCCAGACATTTGCAGGCACACGTGCGCGCGCGCGAGCGCGCGCACACACACACACACACACACACACACACACACACACACACACACACACACACACACACACACACACACACACACACACACACA